GCCCGATCCATAGGAGAGATTGACGCGATTGATCTTCATCTGGACCTCTGTGACATGAGAGATTGCTTCCAGCTTCGTGGCCAGTCGCTGGATCTTGTCCTCCATCTCCTGGATCTTGGCGATGGTGTCCTCTTGCTGTGATTCGAGCGTGCGGTGGAGCAATCTCGTTTTGATCGATGGATTTGGGTCCTTGCTGCTGCTGCTCTCGAGTGGAAATCCAAGCCCAATTGGGATAGAAACCGGCTCAATCTTAATCTCGTGATTTCTCCGGATGGCACTGGGGATCCGATCATGCTGAATTGGATGTTTGCGGTGGAATTCGATAGATTTGAAGCTCCTGGTAACTGGGAGGGAAGACGATCGCGCAGGGCCCCTGTTTCTAGGGCTAGAACAGAGAAATGACGATTGACCTCTCGATCTGGCGCTGCCGATTGCGAACGCGATCGCTGCTGGAGCTGGAAGGAATCGGGAATCCAGCGCCATGAGCTTGATCCACCGCATTTTCACCTACAGAGCCATCCTTTGATTCCTTCTCTTCTCTCTTCCGCGCGAATTGGAAGAAGCTTGAAGCATTCGAGATCCCAAGAGCTTTCATCTCAAGCTGCCACGTGTCCGGTGGAAATTTTTAAAAATCCTTGCGAGGATATTCCCCCCTTCCAACGGGTAGGGTTTTAGGGCAGGAGCGATGGAGGAAGGGCTCTGGAGCTCGCAAAGGGATGTCATCGCCAAGATTTTTGTGCTCCTGCCGCTCGAAGACATCATCCGCATTCGATCCGTGTGTAAGTCTTGGCACTCGCTCGTCGGATCGGGCGAGTTTCTCGAGCTCTGGAAGCGCAAATCCGCCAGGCGGTCGCAGCCGCCGTGGATTTGCGTCCGGGCGTGGCGAGAATCCCTGCAGCAGCAACGAGCGCCGCCGAAATCCGAGGTTTGGAGTCCCGTCGGAGGCCCCAGAGTAGCGTTCCCTTTCACATTTCGTCCGCCAGGAACATCGCAGCTCCAGATTATGGCGTCCTCGCGTGGCCTGGTGTGCGGCCAGGGATTCAATGGGGCGCTCTACGTGGGAAATCCTTTGAAGGGTCTGTGGCACCAGCTGCCATTGCCACCTACAAGCATTGGCAGCCACCAGGCGACCATGGCCGTGGCCGCCACTGGGAATTCGTACAAGGTCGGTTTCTTTGGAGCATTGCCATTTCTCATCTATGATTCCAGACTGGAAACTTGGGTGACCGACGCTAGCTACTACAGGCCAGGGACTTGCATTACCAGGGATCTCCGAGGCTCGCTCTACATGAGCAATCTTCCCGGCAGCGTTATATGCTACGATATGAGCTCGAGATCATGGTCGGAGGTGGAAGTTTGTGGCTTCCCGGATAAAAGCCATCAAAGGCTGGATATCATGGTTTGCAGCTCCATGATCAATCACAGGGGGAGACACATCCAAGTTTCGGCATTGCTGAGTGACGACAAGAAGCTCTGGTACGAGATATGGGAGCTTGTACCTGGGAATCAGTCGTTACCCAGGGGCTGTAAAATGGCCTGGAGGATCTTATCTACGAGCCTGACACTGAATGAGATTACGCTGGAGGGAAGCTTTATCTTCGTCCAGGCAGGAGACATGCTGGTGGTGTACCCCCGGCTGCTGCGAGGTTCTCACTCAGTCTCGGAAGAGTGGAGCTCCAATTTTCCTCCAGCAGTAGCTTTCAACGTTGAGCTGAGCTCCTGGCACGTCTTAGAAGAATCGTTTGAGGGGATTTTTGTGCCGAGCTTAACGACACAGCCTTGAGGTACAGAAAGATCCAGTCTCTTCTTTCTTTATATATGTTTTGATGTGAAGGAACTATAAAATATTACGTACGTGAGATGGGCATGATAAACCTCCTGATAATCAGGACAAACGTTACGTGTCCTTTTGGAGGTTGTTCGTGGCAGAAATTCAGCAATCCAGCACAGCACACGGGTCTTCTTTATTCGAGTGTATCATTGACCCCGTTGAGTGCGCAGCAACTCCAAAACCTTGAGGTGATTTCAAGTTTCTTGGACTTGACGATCTTAATTCAGGCGGTGACAAGAGGAGCTTAATGGCGGCTGAAGAATCGGCTCGCATTGCGCCTCCGCAAGGGCTCCGGTCTCAACCTTCAGTTGCCAAGCAGCATCACAGGCACCTCCGTCGGCATGGCAGTCATGAACTGGAGGACGAAGAGCTGGAAAATGAGGCAGATCTAGAAACTGTTGAGGAAGAAAAATCAAATCTTTTGCTCTACGGCAAGCTCGAGGTAGGAATTGGGGATTGCAAGAACTTGGTGTTCAGGGGGCCGCTCACAGACTGCGTCCGCATGCGAATTCCGATGTCCTGCAATCCCAAAGTATCCAAGAAGACGCGATATCCAAAACGGGGGCTCTACGTTGTTTTGAGCATTGGGGGAGCAAGGCTTGGTCGAACCCGGATATCAAAAAAACCATCCTGGAACGAACAATTATCCATCCATGTAAGTCATTTTGCGACGGAAGTTGTGCTGACCGTGAAAGACGACGGGCTTTTATTTGGGCCTCACGTCCTCGGCAGGGTCCGAATACCAGCGGAGGAAGTTCTTTCGAAGAAGCCCATCGAGGGGTGGTTTCCGCTGTTAAGCAGAGGAAGGCAGAAACAGGATACGCAGCTCAACCTTTTTATCAAGTACACTCCTGTCGAGGAAGATCGGAATTACATCGAAGGTGTTGGTCCGGGGATTGGTGTGGAGAAGGTGTACTTTCCTCTTAGAACAGGATGCCGAGTGAGGCTGTATCAAGACGCTCACGCGGAGGTGCCTCCTCTCAAGCCGATAAGTCTCGACAATGGCCAGGAATTCGTGAGGCAATGCTGCTGGGAGGATCTCTGCCGGGCAATTGTCGATGCTCACCACATCGTGTATATTATCGGGTGGGCAGTCTTTCATAGAACCAGGCTGGTGAGAACTGGTCACAAGGACTTGCCGGACTTAACACTGGGGGAGCTTCTTAAGCAAAAGTCTGCAGAGGGTGTGAGAGTTCTCTTGCTTGTTTGGGATGACAAGACGTCTCACAGGACAAGGTTCTTCAAAATCGTAAGATACTTTCTTTGCTTGTAAGTTATTTTATTAACTTTTAACTTGCTTTCCAGGATGGTGTTATGGGGACTCACGACGAGGAGACAAAGAAATATTTTAAGCATTCTGCAGTGAAGTGTGTCCTTTCTCCTCGCTATGGAGACAACAAGCTCAGCTGGTTTAGACAAAAGGTAAGCTTATCATAACTCTTACAAAAATCATTGTTGTCTGTGCAGATTGTGGGAACCTTGTATACTCATCATCAGAAGCTGGTAATAGCTGATACTCAGGGCCCGGGACAAACTCGAAAGATCACCTCATTTTTGGGAGGTCTAGACCTTTGCGATGGTCGTTATGATACTCAAAAGCACTCTCTTTTCAACACTTTAACCACAATTCACAAAGATGACTGCTACAACGCCATGTTTTCGGTAAGTTGTCAGTGAAATTTGAGACCTTTTGATTGACTTTGTTATGCAGGCAACAGCCGAGAGTGGAGGGCCAAGGCAACCTTGGCATGATCAGCATTGCATGCTTGAAGGTCCAGCTGCGTACGACTGTCTCAAAAATTTTGAGCAGCGATGGTTGAAATCCTCGAACTGGCACGACGATGAGCTGGTTCAGATCTCACGAATTTCGTGGATACTTGGTCCAATCAAGGAGCATCCGGAGGAGGATAAAGCGCTTCTAGTATCACAGCATGATGATCCAGAGACATGGCATGCGCAAGTGCGTTGCAAGTTTTCTCCTTTCATCCTGACTGAAATAGCCTGCAGGTCTTTCGTTCGATTGACTCCGGTTCTGTGAAAGGGTTTCCAAAGAGTGCTCTGGGTGCCGAAGTCGAGGTAATTTTCGTAGCTGTAGAATGGGGTTTTATACAAGCTGTTGTTTGAGCAGCATTTGATTTGCGGAAAGAACATTGCTATCGACAAAAGTATACATGCCGCATACGTGGAGAGGATAAGGTCTGCTCGGCATTTTATCTACATTGAAAATCAGTATTTTCTGGGTTCTTCGTATGCTTGGCCTGACTATAAAAATGCTGGTAATAATCTCAAGGCTTCATGTTTTAGTTGCTAACATTCGCGATACTCTCAGGTGCAACGCATTTAATTCCGATGGAGATTGCTCTGAAAATTGACGCTAATATCCGAAAACGCAAAAGGTTCGCTGTGTATGTGCTTGTACCCATGTGGCCGGAAGGCGCTCCCGACAGTGCTTCTGGACAAGAAATCTTATATTTCCAGGCCAGTATTCTTCCGTTTTTTAAGTGCATAGAAGTATTGACACTTTGTATTCTCATCTAAACCAGGCACAAACCATGGAGATGATGTATCGTGTGGTTGCAAAAGCTCTAGCAGACACCGGACTTGACAAAGAGTATCATCCCAGAGACTACTTAAACTTCTACTGCCTTGGCAATCGCGAGAAACTGGATCACGAGCCCGAGAAGCCACCACCTGAGAAGTCGAAACAGGTACTATTGCACTCGGGGCTTTTTAAGATCTTTTAGTTTTTTATTTGTGACAGCATACTGTGCAAGAAAATGGCCGTTTTCTTATCTATGTTCATGCCAAAAGCATGATTGTAGACGATGAATACGTGATCATAGGCTCTGCAAACATCAACCAGAGATCGATGGATGGTTGCCGAGACACTGAAATAGCAATGGGAGCGTTCCAGCCAAACTACACGTGGAAGCAACAGCAGAAACATCCCAGAGGCCAGGCAAGCTCAGTTCCTCGCTCGTATCAACTTAAAACTCACCTTCGTTTCTACAGGTCTATGGCCATAGAATTTCGCTGTGGGCCGAGCATCTGGCTTGCGTGGAAGATTGTTTCGAAGATCCAGCAAGCGTGGAAACAGTCCGCCGTGTAAATCACCTGGCGGAGGAGAACTGGAAGCAGTATGTCGGCGAGGAAGTGGTCGATATGCAAGGCCATCTCATGCCTTACCCGGTGGAGGTCACCCCGGAAGGAAAGCTCGAGCCACTCCCAGGTTTCGAGAACTTCCCCGATCTTGGAGGCAAGGTACTGGGAACTCCTCACGCGCAACTTCCAGACCAGCTGACCTCGTGATTTTGTACGGATTGTCTAACCCCGTACACGTATGATTTGTACGAAATAACGGTTTTAACTCTCCGTACGAGAACCCAGGGTTTTAACGAATTAGGGTTCTTCGGCAATTTAGGGCTCTTGAATGGAGAAGCTGCGGGGATGGCTCACGGGAGGCGCCGATCGTGGCGCTGGCGATTGCAGCTGCAAGGGTGAGTGCAATAGCAACGATGATGGAGTAGGAGGCGGCGGGGCTGTCAAGCTGAAGCTGCTGTTCGCGTCGGAGACGGGCACTTCGGCCGCATTGGCGAAGCGCCTGGCTGGGAAGCTGGGCGAGAGGGGCATTCCAGTGGAGCTGGTCGATCCCAGCGGGTACGAGCCCGAGGAATTTCTCAAGGAGAGGCTGGTGGTGATGGTCGTGTCGACATGGGAGGACGGGAATCCTCCCAAGCACGCGGCTTTCTTCGTGAACTGGCTCGCCGAGAGCTCCACGGACTTTCGAGTTGGATCAAAGGCGCTGGCCGAGTGCCGGTTTGCGGTGTTTGGCGTTGGAAGCCGCGAGTATGGTTCCAAGTTTAATGCCGTCGGAAGAGCCGTGGAGAAGTACATGGCGGACCTGGGAGCGCAAAGATTGGTGGAGAGGGGCGAGGGAGACGTCGATGGAGGCAGGCTAGATGCTACTTTCGATGGCTGGTCGGCAAGGCTCGTTCGCAAAGTGAAAGAGTTTCTCGAGAGAGATTCCATCGCAGTGGAACCGGCTGCTGCGGTTGAAGGAGATGAGAGTGACGACGATGACGAGTTTGATGACAGTAAGGAGGATTTCGACTTGGAAGATTTAGCTGGCAAGTATCCTCGAGCGACGAATGGAAAGCTCGTTAGCGATGGAGAGGCGAAGGAGATGGTGACGCCCGTTATCAGGTCCAGCTTGGAGAAACAGGTATCTGTTTCTCAGATTTAAGTTGAGTTGGCCACTTCTTATCTTTGTTTCTTCTCTTTCCTTCTTTGCAGGGCTACAAGGTAATTGGATCTCACAGCGGAGTGAAGTTATGTAGATGGACAAAGTCTCAACTACGCGGTCGTGGTGGCTGCTACAAGCATACCTTTTATGGAATTGAGAGCCACAGGTGGGAAAATTTCTGCTTTTTCCTACGATGATTCATGATGTTATTAAGTACTTTTCAGATGTATGGAGGCAACGCCGAGCCTTGCGTGCGCAAACAAATGCGTCTTCTGCTGGAGGCACCATACAAATCCCGTTGGAAAGTCGTGGAAGTGGAAGATGGATGATCCTTTGGATATAGTGACGACTGCTCTGGATCATCATAAGAAGATGATCAAGCAAATGAAAGGCGTCCCTGGTAAGTACTTTCCTAGCAAGTAGCTCAACTCACGGCTTTGCTGTGATGTTGGCTCAGGTGTGAAAGATGATCGTCTGGAAGAAGGCCTTCGTCCAAGGCATTGTGCTCTGTCACTTGTTGGAGAACCCATCATGTATCCGGAGATTAACACTCTGGTCGACGAGCTGCATAAGAGACATATATCTACGTTTCTGGTGACTAATGCCCAGTTCCCCGACAAAATTGCATCTTTACATCCCGTCACACAGGTAAGCTTCTTAAATTCTGTCTGTGTCCCTGTGTCTGAAAACGGTTATGCAGCTATACGTGAGCGTTGATGCTGCAACAAAGGAGAGGCTAAAAGCCATAGACAGGCCTCTTTTCAGCGACTATTGGGAGCGTTTCATCGTAAGTCGTTTGCATTCAAAGCTCCTTTTGCGAAGCTAAGCTTCCTTTTCTCTTTTCTCTAGGATTCTTTGAAGGCGCTTTTAGATAAGCAACAGAGGACGGTGTATCGCTTGACTTTAGTTAAAGGATGGAATACCGCCGAAATTACGGCATACGCAGAGCTTTTGAAACTGGGAAGGCCGGACTTTATTGAGATCAAGGGAGTTACCTACTGTGGCTCGTAAGTCTCTTTCGGTTTTTGCTCCTCTCATAAAGACCCGTTTCTCTGGTTTTCAAGGTCTAAGACATCAACGTTGACCATGGAGAACGTTCCTTGGCACGAGGATGTGCGAGAGTTTTCGGAGGCGTTATCTGCAGAGACCCGAGGAGAGTACGAGCTGGCGTGTGAGCACGTCCACTCGTGCTGTGTTCTCCTGGCTAATGTCTCCAAGTTCAAAGCCGACGGACAGTGGCATACATGGATCGACTATGACAAGTTCCAGGAGCTGGTAAGCGGGCAGAGCAGACAGGAATAATGCACTTTGCTTCCTTGCTTCTAAAGAACTTTGCTTTTCTTGCACCAGGTGACAAGTGGGGAATCCTTCAGCAGTGAGGACTACATGGCAACCACCCCGGCCTGGGCTGTGTATGGTGCTGTCGAAGGTGGCTTTGATCCCACTGAAACGAGAGTTAGAAAGGAGAGACGGCATGGCGGTGGCGGTGTTAGCGGTGGCTGTACGTAAGGGAAGAAGCCTCATCTCTTCTACTTGCCAGTTAAGTTTTTCGTTTTATTTCGTCATTCGCTCACAGAGATTGTTTACATGTGGACGCCGCAGAATTCCAGATACCCGTTATTGTTTCCAAAGTAGTGATTGAGGTCTGCTTCCGTGGTGATATTGTTGCCCTTCCCGTCGGGGCACGCCGCACGCATCAAGTTGCTGTGGAGCTCGACGTCGCAGCTATCAAAAATGCCACTGCCGGAGATGATAAAACCATTGTAGTTTCCCAAGCTCTCCTGCAAGTTGAAGAATCGGTGCTCCCACATTGGCTCGCACTTGGCATATAACCAGTACTTGACGAGCGCAATGGGACGGCAGGAGAATGCGAATTGCTCGCAAGCCTGTGGAAGAAGGATCAATGGAAACTGGAGGTGAGTGTTCTTCTTTTCTTTTCTCTCGCTCTCTTTGGTTCTTACCTGGGTGTTTATGAGCAGAGAAGCCGTAGCTGTCACGAGCAGGAGCAAGTGTTTCTTCATTGGGAACTTGTGAAGAATTGCCGTCGCTACACGTCCCGTTAACGAGTTGGATTAAAAGGAATGATCTTTCGTCTTGGTGTAGGACCAAAAGAACGTCCAGACAAAGGAGACGTCTTCTAGCCGAGGCAAGCCAGCTTTGTTTCGTTTCTAAAGTGTATCTAGTGTAATCCCTGTTGCCGGATCATCGATTCCATGATGACATATTGGAAGACAATCAAAACAGTATAAATGAGAAAATCCGGAGGAAATGGTTTCTTTGCGCTGATTGTTTAAATAATTGTACTATAGTGTTTTTACGTCCTGAAAGTCTTTGGAGTTGCAGGAGAGTAGCTTTCTCTCTTGAGTACCTAGGAAACTGGATCTGTAGCATACTCCACTGGTCCCTCTTATTAAATCCAATCCAAATCCTTTTGCTCGCTGGATCATCCACTGGGATCAAACGGAATCGCCCAAGGAATCCCCAGATTCCTCCTTCAAAGCACACCCAGTGATTGCTCCTTGAGTGGTGGAAAACTTCCAAGCAATGCTTTCTCCCCCTCCAAATCCATTCTTTTCTTACTTGAAGTGAATGCTTCCACATGAGGATCATGTTCTCCAGTGTGGGTTTTGCTTTTCTACCTGGCTTGCTTTGACCGGTAGGTTCGGGGGGGACTTTGGCTCGGTACGGTCATGCCAGACCTAACGCTGCAGGGTGGGCGCTCCTTTACACCAAGTCCTTGGCAAAGACAGTGTCCTTACTAGCTCTTCCAGCTTTTGTGCTACATATATCCTGCGAGAAAACGGAATGGAGGACTGCGAAAGAGCACCAACATTCTCTTTGGCTTTCGCCTCGAGACAATCGAAATCCCCGAACGGGGCATTGAACTCCAAACTAAAACCGCCGTTAAACCCGGCTAAAGCCCCACTAAACCTGGCTTGATCCTGACAGGAACATGGAATCCACCTTGACTGGCCCAGGCCTTTTGTCCATGCATTGGGTGGTGTTAGGGCAAAGGTCACCATCTTTGCAATCATCTCTCTCTTAAGAAAACAATTGAAAAGAAATAAAGGATGGCAAAGTCTTCTGCAATTTGACCCTAAACCCCACTGTAATCTCTTCTGAGATCCCAAATCACCTGATAGGATAAAGTTCTCCCTGCATTTTGTGCTTTGGTTGAAACTTTCAAAAAGGAAAAACAAGAGATTTAATCTACCTTTTTTTCTTAAAAAATAGAAAAACTTCTCTTTCTCTCTTTTGGCCTTGCCTTTGCATTGCATCTGCTGCTGCTGCTGCTGGCTGCTATCCTGCTGCAGCACACACTGGCACAGGCCACACAAGTCAGGCCAAAAAAAAAAAAAAAAAGAAGGGGGAACAACAACAGGAAGGAAAGGAGGCCTCCAAGCAAAATCCAAGGCAAGTAAAACCAGGCTAAAAATCTCTTCCAGCCCAAAATCCAAGCACACAAGCAAAGCAAAGCACAAAGATGGCTGGCTGGCTGGCTGCTCTGCATTGCCCACATGCTCCATGATCATCTCCTCTCACAACAACATGGAATCTCCAGGGGCATCTCTGGAGCATCTCTCCATGGCATGACTCTCTCTCTTCTCTCTCCCTCTCTTTCTCTTTCTCTCTCTTCCTGCCATGGAAGACAGGAGAAGAGAGAACACACAAAAGAAGTATAGGAACAAAATGGTTTTTCTCCTCTCCCCTTCTCTCTCTCTCTCTTTGGAACAGCAATGCCACCAATGGAATCAGACGATCTAAGACGCCGATGCTGATGATGGAGCCAAAATCGACACTCGGTGCTGGATTCTTCGTCTTCCTCCTCCTAAGCAGCTTCTAAAGCGCGCTCTGCGATAGCGGCGGCTATGGTGGAAGGAGAGCTCAATGGATGACGATCAGGGGTGGCAGAGTAGGAGGCATGGATTCTCGTGGACGCTCCAGCTCCTGCATTGGAAGCACGGGCCTGGAATGAGGAAGAGGTGAAAGAGTGAAAGAGAGAGAGAGTGTGTGTGTGTGTGTGTGTGAAAGTGTGAGAGGCGAGAGGAGGAAGAAGAAGATCGGGGATGTGGGTCTAGCCAGGACTGGCGACCCACGAGAGGATTTGGATCGCGAGCAAGTGGGTTGCTCCCGGAATGTAGCTGCGCGGAAGGGATTGGATCGATCGATCGAATGAGCGCCGGAGGAATAGAAGGAGCGCAGCATCGGAGGGGACACAGCACAGGGTCGAGCGCCATGGCTGTGGTCGGCAAGGAGCGCGAGGAGGATCTGGCGCTCTTCCACGAGATGAAGGCGCGGGAGAGGATCCACTTCCTCCATCCCAGCACCGAGGAGGACATCGAAGCGTCGCTCCGTGAGTTTCTTAGGCCCCATTGTCTGCGTTCTTCGTGTTCTTGCGTGTTCTTCGTGTGCTCTTGGCTGGAATGATTGGAATCATGATGGGTTGTCCGCTAAGTTTTGGGGATTTCGCGCTCCAGGGTATCGGATGGTGGCCACGGCTCCGCCATTGCAGCACAAGAGCCCAAACGATCTGCTAGGCTTGGAGCCGGAGAAGAACGACTATGACTGGTAAGCTTCCATAGCCAGGACGAGCAACGCTTGCAAGAATTCTCACCCTTTCCTCGCGTGGTATAGGCTGCTAACTCCGCCAGGAACGCCACTCTTTCCATCGCTGGATCGCGACCTCCCCAGCGAGGCACAGCTCGAGGCCGCCAGCGTTCGTGCCACCACCAGATCAAGAGTAAGTTCTCATCAATCACACTCCATCTCTAATCTTCTTCGTCCTTCCATTCCAGCCGAGTAGAATCTCCAGAGGAAGCTCCAGTCCTTCGCGCAGGCCGAGCTCGCCATCTCCATCCTCCACCTCGAGCTTGAGCCGGCGACCATCGTTTGGAAACTCGAGCCCGTCCAGGCCAGGATCATCGAGCAGCCGCCCAGTCACTCCAACCGGCGCTCGCCCCTCCACTCCAGGAAGATCCTCCACCCCGACCAGGAGAACTCTCACCACCTCCGCCAGCTTCAACAAGATCACCACCACCTCCAACAATGTGGGAAGAACCGCGCGTAGCAGCTCGCCATCGTCGCGAAAGCCGAGAACTCCCGTCCATCCGGCAATGCCCGCGGGATTCGCGAGTGAGCCACCGCCAAACCTCCGGACGAGCATGCCGGATCGACCATCCTCGTCCAACACTCGCGGAGCTTCCTTGTCTCCCCGGCTCGTTGGAGGAGGATCATCCTCTTTCAAGAGCTCGGATCATCGCCGCGCCGTGTCGCCGAGCTTCTCCCGGAGCTACAGCTCCTCGGCCAGCTCCAGCAAAGGATCGGTCGTCTCCTCGTCGCAAAACTCGGGCATCGAGGTGAATCGTCCCAGCCCGCGGGTGGTGATCACCACCACCACCACGGACAGCGGTGGAAAGCGGCCGATCTCGGGCTGCGAGGAGACATCTCCGGTGAAGCCCGTGACCAAGAAGCCGGTTCGAACGGGCGGGACGGGCTCCTTCTCGGCGATCAACTCGCAAAGGAAGCCTTTCGACACGAGTTCTTCGCGACAAATGGTGACGAGCTTTGCAAACTCTTAAGAGTTCTCTCCTCTCTAATCATCAAAATCGTTTTTTTTCTTGCAGGACTTTAGGAGGAACTCGAGCGGTGGATTCCGGCCGCTCATGTCAAACAGCCACATCTCGTCCTTCTACACGCGAGCCAGCAACTCGCTCCAGCAGCGCTCCATGACGGACTCGTCGATCAACAGCAGCAGCGCGGCGAGTGTGGAGCACGACCAGGACGAGGAGGTTGCGTCCAGGCTGAGCCGGGACGACCGCGACGAGTTTGCGTCGCTCGACGCCATGATCGATGACAGGAAGGCCGAGGAGCTCCTGGAGGATCACTCCCTGGAGCTGGCGAGGAGCTGCGAGGAGACGAGAGCCCTGGAGATCGTTGAGGAGCTGGAGCCGATGGTGGAACAAGCTCGAGCTCAAACTCAAGCTCAGGTCGAGGAGGAGATGGTGATCGAGAAGTCCGACCACCATGAGCTTCTGGTGCTCACGCCAACTTCCTCGGATCACTCTCCACCCTTCCAGGACGAAGTCGACATGGAGATCGACGAGAGCCATCCGCTCGACGAAGACACTGCAGCCAGCATGAGAAGCTTGCTCGAGCTCGTCATCAGCAAAGCCGTGGATCTGGCCGAAAACCAGGAGAGGCAATCAGCGAGAGCTCCTCATCCGAGCTCCAAGGTTTCTGGAGGAGCTGTCAAGCCTGACGAAGCACAACAAGAGCAAAACTCCTCGCCGCCATCTTCCACAAAGGATCCATCCCTCCACTGCTTCACTCAGCTCATCGATCTAAAGTACAGCTCCAGCTCCCTGGAAGTCTACCAGTTTGATCAGGAGCTCCACACAACCGGCTCGGAAGTGCTCGGACTCGCGAACGATCCTGCTCCAAAGCCCAGAGACTGCCGCTCCTCGATCTCTCCCAGCACTTCCACCACGACAATCTCGGACAAGAAAGCCTCCACTTCGTCGTCCAGCGCCTCCCAGCTCTCGGAAACTTTCGCCACTCGATCGTCCAACGACCGGGGAGATCATCCAAAGACGAGCTCGACCAACACCGACGTCCATAGATTGTCGTCCCGGATCACCACCAAGCCCCGAGACCCTCCAAACTTCGGCGCATTCTTGAGCGCGTCCAGGCACTACAAGAGGAGAGACTCGAGGGAATCGTCGCTCTTCTCGATCCAGATAAGCTCCTCCAAAGGTGGCGAGAGCATTTCATCCGGAGGACGTCCCGCTAGCACCACCGACGATAGCGTCGACGATATAACCCCGCGGAGGATCCACCACCTCGATCTAGCATGCAACGGCGACGCGTCCAGCAACGGGACGTATACGTACAAGGCCTCGGACGAGTACGACACCAAATCCGAGGAGAGCTGCGTCGACTACTACATCGATTCCATGGATCCACCGCAAAAGTTCGTGGACAAGACGACGACCGAGCGAGGAGGCAGGACGACGAGCTTAAACTCTAGCAAGGAGTGTGAGATCCTGGCGAGCGAGGATGTTCTTCCCGGTGGCTTTGACAACGACGAGGACGGATACGTCGACTACTACATCGATGATTTCTCGTCGCGGCAAAAGATGGCGGGGAGCGACGATCGTGAGTTCTCAGAGCCAGCAGCGAAGAAATCGATCGCGGCGATCGCGAGTCACCGGCAGGACGCCATGGACATCGTCCTGGAGGAGGAGAGATCGCTGCTCGTGGATGATACACACATAGAAGTGTGTAGCATGGAGGAGTCTTCCTCCTCCGAGTGTGGAGATCATCATCCTGGAGGATCTGCCGAGGATCCTCGCGATCGAGGCGACGAGGAGATCGACACCATGACCGAGTGCTGGAAGCAATTGGAAGAAGCCGAGCAACATCACCAGCATCACGAAAAACTTCCAGGTAAGTTTCTTCGCTGCTAGAGAGAGCTCTTGTTTCGATCGATCGATGACGAGCTTGCTTCATTCTCTTCGATGGCAGGGAGCATCAATGGTGCTGGAAGCACCACCAATACCATCGCGATCTCCTCCAGCGAGAGCACCCGCGAGAGCATCCTCTTCTGCAGCTCCATCGTCCACGACCTCGTCTACCGGGCCGCGAGCCTGGGGATCGAGAAGGAGGATCTCAAGGCGGCGTCGGCGGACGAGCTCGTCACCTTCCTGGGGCTGTCCAAGACGCACCACATCCCCCCAAAGTTCGTGGATCTGGATCCCACCAAGTGGAAAGCCAGCGAGGAATCCACCGTGCGGAGAACTCTCACTTACTTGCAGAACCAGAAGCTGATGCCAAAGACCACCGTCGCCTTCATGCACAGCCCGCCCCTGGGAAGAGTTGAGGAGGACGTCAAAGATCACATCATCCCAGAGCACCACTTCATCGATCGATCGCTCGAGAGGGGGGGCGACGCCGCGAGCGCCGAGTCGCTGCGCCGGCGATCGAAGTCCAAATGCCGCTGCGTGATCCTGTGAGGAATCAGCGAGGGGCTGTGGCTTGTAAGAATTTTACTCGTGTACTGCAGTAAACTAAAGAAGAAAAGAGATTTTTAGGGTTCTTGGGAAACTTGGTGACGTGTCAAGGAATGTTTAATGTTGTTTTGACGTGTACCTGTCGCACCATTAATGACGGGCACGCGACGCCGCCTCGCCCGTCAAAACCGTTTCCGCGGCATAATAATGCGTCCATCCAACGACTGCTGTGCAAGGTGGGCTTAGATCCATCGGTGGAGATCTTCTCGCCCTTCTAGCACGTAATAAACAACTGAAGTGGAATAAGAAGGGAGGGAGATTAGTATACGCAGCAGTGCCACAGAGGGAGGAGTGAAAGCACTCGAATCTCCTCTCACCCACCACCGAAAACTCTCGCATTCATTCAATCGATCGCTTATCTCTCTCTCTTCTTCCTCTCTTCTTTCGGTTGCTCCGATCGATGGCGAATAATCGATTTGCGGGGCGCGCGATCGATCGGCCGCGCGAGAGAGCAATGCTGGCATTGCTCTTGTTTTCTCTATCCCTGGATCTCTCGCTGGGGCAGTATGATCACGCCAATGCCTATGGCGTTCCCGCGATTCTAATCTTCGGCGATTCCACCGTGGACGCGGGCAACAACAATGTGTTTAGCACGATCATGCACAGCAATCACGCGCCGTATGGCCGCGATTTTGGATTCCCCACCGGGAGATTCAGCAATGGTCTGCTCGCGCCGGACATCGTCGGTGAGTTGACTGTTCGTTGATTATCGTGGACTGGCTCTTGACTGTGCTTGTTCTTGGCGAGATCTCGCAGCTCAGAAGCTCAATCTCCCATTCCCGCTCGCGTTCACTAGTCCGAATGCCACCGGAGACAATCTCATCTTTGGAGCGAATTTCGCGTCGGCAGCGTCGGGGCTGGTCGATTCCACGGCTTCGTTGTTTGTAAGCTCGATCTTTCTCTTGTTTGCTATTGAAGCCATGGATCTTCCTTGTTGCTAGAATGTGGCTTCGTCCACGCAGCAGCTCAAGTGGTTTGCGAGTTATCGGCAGCAATTGGAGCGGATAGCCGGGCCCGATCGCGCGCAATCGATCCTCTCCAGGGCGCTCTACGTGATAAGCTCCGGGAGCAACGATTATATCTACTATCGCCTCAACACTCGCCTCTCCTCGCAGTACAATAACGAGCAATTCCGGGAGCTCCTCATCAAGCAGACCTCGCAATTCATCCAGGTACGCGACTTCACTCCGATCCGGGCTAGTTTTCCATCGCATTTCTCTTGGATTCTCGCAAATCTTCCATCAATCAATCTCTTTTTCTTCCCCTGCTTGGAATCTCACACGTTCCAAGAACAGCCTCACACAAATTTGCTCTTTGGAATCTCTCCAGGAGCTTTACAATGTCGGTGGGCGCCGATTTGCGGTAGTCTCAGTGCCTCCGCTGGGATGCTTGCCATCGGAGATCACAACCGCGGGCAAACGCGATAGAAGCTGCGTGGAAGATCTCAATTCCAAGGCCGTCGCCCACAATGTCGCGCTCCAGCAGCTGCTCACGCGAACCAAGGCCTCACTTCCGGGAACCAAGGTCGCATACCTCGACTGCTACAGCGTCCTCTTCGATGCCATCCACAATCCTGCGAAATACGGCAAGAATTCCACCTTCTTTTCTCAAGAACACTCAATCCCCTGTTTTCTTTGCAGGGTTTAGCGAGACGAATCGAGGCTGCTGCGGCTCCGGATTGATCGAAGTGGGCGATCTCTGCAATGGATTGTCGATGGGGACGTGCTCCGACTCCTCCAAATTCGTCTTCTGGGACAGCTTCCACCCGACGCAGGCAATGTATGGAATCATCGCCGAGGTGTTTTACAACCAGGCCGCCGCGGTGCTCTAGTGAGCGCAAATCGAGAACTCTAGACAAGGAAAAGCCCTCTCCCATCTTCCAAATCCAATCCCAAAAGAGAAAAGAGCTCGAGACACTGTAAATTTGGTCACTGAGATTCGGGCAGTAAGTATAAAAGCGCTTAATCCTTCGATCGCTTCCTTCCTCCTCGCTGCGCGCATCGCATCGCCGAGACGACGACGTACACAATTCTTACATACATTAAAACATACGTATTGTTTATTACGGAGGGTTTATTCCGTACTTTGTACGAAGAGACCCTTCTTGTACGGATACCACTTTGATTTTAGGGTTCTTCTTCGGGGTAGCAGTTGTCGGTCTCGCAGACGCTGCAAATCGGCCCGTAGAGGAGGAGGGCGGAGCACTCGCCGCAGAGCTTGCCCGGGACGCGCAGGATGTGGGCGAGCGTGACGGTCTCCCAGAAATCGAGCTTGCGGTTGTGATCGGCGTCGAGGGCGTCGAAGCACGAGAGGGCGACCGCTTTGACGGCGGGGTCGCTGTAGCGTTCCACCTCCGTTCGCGTCACCCCCCTACTCGCATTTTGATCCATGCCTTTGAAGAGGCGCAGCGCCTGGGATCGCTGCTCCAGGGGGAGCTTGTGGTACGCGGCCTTGGCCTCCTGGTGGAGGCGGCGGATTGGATCGTTGCAGATGGAGTGATCATGGGCCGGGAGATTGCACTGAGCCATGGGAGAGAGATCTAGAGGTGCTAGTTTGTGATGAATTCCATGGCGGGATGGTCGTTTATATAGTGAGATCGTTGCGCCCACCACTACCGCCCTTGAATCGAATCAAACGTACGCGGGAGATGCTCAGCGATTCATGAATGATAGAGCTGCCGACCATGGCTAAGATCAGATCGTATAGGCGCGATAAGTGTTTAGTCTACACACGATTCTTCTTCTTCTTTGGTTTTCCTGCGCGGACACCATGAAAGAGAGGAATCACAACACTCGCACAGCATGTAGTACACCTCACATAGAAAACACTTGGAATTATTATGAGATAGAGCCATGGTCCACAACACACACAAGATTTAATAGAGTATGGTACCACCACAGGGAGGGAGAGAGAGAGAGAGAGAGATTTATAAAAACTTCCATCAATCATGTGTCTGGAGAGCTCGTGGAAGCATGAGTTTGGATTCGTACACCAGCGCGAGCTTAAAAAATCTAGAGGTTTTTTTGATCAAGGCTCGAGCTTACCACTTAAACTATAGATCTTTTTACCACGTAATTGGCATGCAAAATCACATTTTTCTCGACCATATTCGTGATTTCTCGCTAACAATTCTTTGAGTTTTGGGGGATAGCGATGGAGACTGGACACACGGACAAGTTCTTCCTGTGCTTTGACCATAACCTTTGGTTTTGGAGCGATTAGTTTTGGTGGCTGGGCTTGTATTTTTTGTTTCTCTCTCTTTCCCTTTGCTTTGGAGGCCATTTTGTTTTGCAGAGGCATCGGTGGTTGCGGCTGCCTGGCAGCGGAATGTGGGAAAGCTCGAGCTCTCCGGTGGTGGGTTTTGTGGATCTCACTTAGATCTGCGGGAGCTCCACCGAGAGATTGCCGAGCTATGGCGGAGTTTGGCGGACAAAGCTCGAGGTAATGAAGAGGCGCTTGCACTGTTCCTTTTCTTGCATGATGTGCTTTCGAGGTTTTTCCTCGTTGTCTTGCTAGTAGCGGCTTGTGGATCTTTGATCTTGGTTGTTTGGTGGTCTGGTTTTTTTTTTTTTCTTCTTTTTTTTTCAGCTATGCTCAAAGTTTGTGTGATGGATCAATGTAGCTCGGGGTGAAGGCTGGTTGAGGAGATGAGCCATGGAAAGTCCTCAAAAGTGTAGCTCCTTCAAGAACTTGGTCGGGACCATCGAATCACTGCTGGGATCCAAGAGCGATCTTACAGTCACTTGGGCTCAGTCCGTCAAGCTTATCATCGAGGATTTGTCCAACAGCTGCCCTTCCACTCCTTGCACACCATCTTTTCCAGAAGGGGCCATCTACAACAACACCGAAAAATCAAGCCTCCAAGGTAGAGAAAAATCTCTCTTTTCTTTTTTTTGTGTGTTTTTCGTTGATTCTTTTTCTTTTCTTTTTTTCCAGGAGAGCTCATACTTCTAAAGGCTGCCTATGCCTTGTCGAATGTTAACAGGAAGCTCGCTTTAAACAAGCTCCTCGATCTCAAAGGTCTGCAAGCCTCTAAGATTTCTCTGAAAAATCAAAACTTTGTGCAGGGAACATACGAGTTTTTTGTAGAGTTCGGCCTCTCCTGTCCTCCGAGCAACAGGGAAGAGTCGGCATTGTCGCCACGGATGTTCCAAATCAAGTCCAAGTATCCTCCTCTGGTGGCAAAGCCAGGAACTATCTATTTGATAAGGTTTTCCACGCGGCATCCTTACAAGGTACGAAACCATTCAAATGGTGGCGACAAGAGCTTAAGATTCTTTGTTTCTTCCAGATGATGTTTTCTCAGAAGTGGAGCCAATTATCAGGTCCGCCATGGATGGAAGTAACGTTTGTATCTTTGCCTATGGACAAACCGGCACTGGAAAGACGTTCACAATGGTTGGTTTCGTGATTTTCTCGTTTTTTCGTCCTCGTCTCAGACTTTCAAGTTCTCAGGAAGGTAGTCAGGATTGTCCAGGAATAGTTCCTCGCACTTTGCAGCAGCTCTTCTTCGACGCTTCGCTCGACACAACTGTCGAGTACTCATTCAAGCTGAGCATGCTCGAAGTGTACCGTGGGTGTTTGCGCGACTTATTGGCTCCTCGGCAACAGCAGCAGTCGAGCAGCAAGAGGCAAGAAATCCTTGTTCGTTATCTCTTGAAAAACGTGATTTTTTCTTCTCCAGCCTTTGCATCCAGATGGCTGGATCTGGTAGCACAGAGATAGAAAACTTGACAGAGATTCCGATTAAAAGCGCGAGCCAGGCAAGATATCTATATCGCAAGGGGGTCCGTTCGAGGTCTACGTGTTGGACGACTGCAAACGAGACATCGAGTAGATCACACTGGTGAGAGTCCAAAACTTTTCTTTTTTTGTTCCATCTTCTATCCGGCCGCCATAAATTCTTCTTTGCTCGATCAGCTTGGTTCGAATCAACATCACTTGCAACTATGGAAAGCAGAGCCACGCAAGCAAACTTTGGCTGGTGGATTTGGGAGGGAGTGAGAGGTTCTTTAAGACGCAAGCGCAGGGACAAACTCTGGAAGAAGGCAAAGCCATCAATGCATCCTTGTCCGCATTGGGGGATGTTATCAGTGCTCTACAACGAAAGCAACCACACATACCTTACAGGTAAAAATCTTTGTTTCTTTCTTTTCTCGGAGCGAGCGAGAGTTAACTGGTTTTTCCATTTCTATGGTTGGTGTTCTTCAAGCAGGAATAGCAAGCTGACACAGATTCTTCGCGATTGTTTAGGTACTTTTGAAAAGTTTTGCTTTGTGCCTCAGAGAAAAAATGGTTTTTTCCAGGGAAGGATTCGAAAGCTTTGATGCTTGTTCACGTTAGTCCAAAGGAGGAAGACCTTGGAGAGACGACGTGCTCGCTGGGATTTGCTTCCAGGGCCAGGGCGATTCATCTTGGAAGAGATATATCTCCTGTAAGATCATATAGTTTGTTCTCTCCCTTCATAGTCTTGAACTCTTTTCTCTTGTGGATTTCTAGAGCGCAAGGGACGAGAGAACAGCTAGCATGGCCAACGTTTTGGCGAAGATGAAGCTCTACGAAACCGAGTGCCAGAAGCTCAACGAGAACATCCAAATGGTGGAGTCTCTCATCCGCCGCGGCATGGAAAACCAAGACTTGGACGAGCTGCAAGCCAAGTTACTCTCGGCGAGCGCAAAGAAGGAGCTCACCACCACCACCGCCGGACGTTCTTCATCCTCTTCATCGTCGTCCTCCTCCATTCCCAGATTCATGACACCCACAGTGAGCAGCCAGCGCAAGAAACGCAGCAGCACGATCCACCTCGAGAGCGTGGTCTCGGTGATGATGGAGACGACCACCGAGAAGAGAGTGGTGAGATCCGGGACGCCGGAGTCTCGCCAGGTGCGAAGAACTCTCAACTTCCAAGTCCATCGCCAAGAGGTTGTCCGCCATCACCAAGTTGACGATCCTCCGCCACCTCGAGTTCACGAAGTTGGAGCTCAAGAGGACGAGCTGCTGGTTGATCGCAAAGCTACCACTGCTGCTACTGTGAGAAATGGTTTGACGACGGAGAATTCAGCTCCATCGCCATCGCCTCCACTCCCTGTGGCTGTGGCGGCAAAGTCCGAGAGAAGATTGATGAGGACGAGCGCCACCACTACTCAAGCTGGCAAGGAGCGGGGTGGAAGATGTGGGTGGGAGTACTTAGGCAAGAAGAGCTCCAAGTATCGGAGGAGATGGACGCTCGAGTGCTCAAGCAGGATTTCTATCACCGAGAGATTGTGACGAGAGATCCTACCTTTTGTAAACTAACTTGCTACCCTGAGGGTGATGATCTCCAAAACATAGAAGATTTGTTCCCAAGTGTTCTTGTCATTTACACGATCATCTTGCGATCAAAATACAAACTTTGATTTTGCAGCTGTAGGCCTACTCTCGAGAAAATCACACAAACAACTATATGTAGGCCTACTCTCGAGAAAATCACACCAAACAACTATAAGCAAAGAATGGATCACGACGACTTACGCGTATTTGACGCGACCACAGCGGTCGCACGGCTCGGGAGCAACTTTGGCAGTCGCCTCTTTCTTCGCTGATTGTAGCTTTGACAGATCCCAGTCGAGAACAGCGCTGAAAGCGCCTGCGGCCTGCTGGAGCTGCTGTGGTCTGCAACACAGGAGGAGCAACCATTGTCGATCGCCCGAGACTTTGAAAAGAAAAAACCAAGAGGACGTACTTGATTGTCAATGGAGGAGAAAATCTTATGATCGTGTTATGCGTCGGCTTGGCGAGGATGCCCCGCTCTTTCAGCGCAAGGCAAACTTCGTAGGCGTTGCTCGTCCCCAGCCCTTGAGAGTTCAGCTCCACGGCATTTAAGAGTCCGCGGCCCCTCACCTCTTTCACCACGTCCGGATGGCACTTTTGCGAGTTTTGGAGATGCACTCTAAATTCTTCCCCCAGGTCCGCTGCCCTGTATAAATCAAGATGAATACAAGTGTTTGCTGGTGGAAAAAGCTCTCACCTTTCACAAAGCTGCTCGTCTTGGACAACTTGCAGTGCAGCGATAGCCACTGCGCTTGCCAAAGGATTTCCTCCAAAGGTACTGTAATTATGAATCAGGTAGAGAATTTAGAATGGCATTGCCAAACCTTCCGTGCTCCCCAGGCTTGATGCACAGCATTACGTCCTTGTCAGCGAGCACAGCACTTACGGGGACCACCCCAGCACCAAGTGCTTTTCCCAAAATCTAAAGAAAGGATGAACTGTCAAAGTGAATCACACCGCAAACATGATCATACCACAACATCAGGTCGAACTTCTTCCCAGTCGCAAGCCAGAAGTTTTCCAGTTCGACCGATTCCAGTTTGTATCTCATCTGCTATCATCAACACCTTGTGCTTGGAGCAAAGCTTGCGCACTTCCTTGATGTAACCTTCGGGTGGAAGTATCACCTAGAAAAAAAATATGACGTTAAAAGGATATCTATGAAATGGATAACGACGGACCATACCCCAGCTTCCCCTTGAATAGGCTCGAACAGAAAGGCTGCAGTCTTCTTTCCATGCTCTACACGGAAGCTGATAGCTTGTATAAAACAAAAGAAAACAACGCACCTTCCAAAGCGGATGCGAGTGCACTGATGTCACCAAAATCAACCTTTACATGGCCGGGAAGCAAAGGCCAAAAGCCTCGAGTAGCCTCATTGTCACAACTCATCGATATCACTCCAGTTGTTCGACCGTGGAAGCAACCACAACACGAGATGATAATGGCCTGAAAACTCCAAAAGCCTCAGCAAGCCAAAGTAGATTCATATCCTTTGGTTTCATTACCTCGTTCTTTGGAATTCCCTTCTTTTCGTATCCCCACTTTCTCGCCAGTTTCATGGCAGTCTCCACGCCCTCGGCCCCGGTGTTCATCGGCAGCACCATCTCATATCCAAACAACTTGGTGATCATCTTCGCAAAGGCTGGGAACTTGTCATTATAGAAAGCTCGCGAGCTCAACGTTAAGTTGTGAGCTTGCTTGGTGAGAGCTTCGATGATCTTTGGATGGCAGTGGCCCTGCAATTTCAGATCTCAAGCAAAGAAAAATGAAAAAAACCGCTATAATCTCACCTGATTCACGGCAGAATAGGCAGAGAGAAAATCCAAGTACTCCCGGCCCTCTGGATCCCAAACCACGGCGTCCTTGGCACGAGCAAACACCACCGGCAGCGGATGATAGCTGGATTTCGCGATCGCGATCAAGAGGGCAAAATGAACGATCGCTTACTTGTGAGCGCTGTAATGCTGTTCGTCCTGGATGAGGAACGCCGATTTGTCGCTCAGCGAGGGCGCCGAGACCTCGGCGCTGGTGATGTAGCTGCGATCACGCAGGAATCGCCGCGATCGCAGCACGGACCGCCTCAATGCCGCCGCCGCCACCGCCATTCTTAGCCTCTCCGAAGCATAGCTTCAAACTATCCCTAGAAATATATTTCACGTCAGCGCCTACGTGTCAATCCTCATGGATAGAACAGAATATACCCATTTAAGAATATGCTTGTTTTGAGTGATTCTAGGGTTCTACGCGGCCATGGGGGAGAATGTCCACGATCTCGTGGAAATCGTGGAATGTAAGCTCGACACAGCGAAATACATGGATTCCGTCAGGAGCCCAGCCGCCGGAGCGATCGCGAGCTTTGGCGGCACGACGCGGGATAGATTCCAGGGCAAACAGGTTCTAGAGCTTCGCTACGAGGCATACGTGCCAATGGCGAGCTCGCAGCTGCGCAAGATCTGCCAGGCGGCCCGGGAGAGGTGGGAATTGATCGGCGTGGCCGTGGCGCACAGGATTGGCGTGGTGCCCGTGGGGGAGGAGAGCGTCTTTGTGGCCGCCTCGTCGATCCACAGGAAGGAGGCGCTCGCCGCTTGCCAGTTCTTGATTGACGAGATCAAGGCCTCGGTGGCGATCTGGAAGAAGGAGATCTACGCGGATGGGGAGGCCTGGAAGGAGAATGCCGAATTCGAGAGCACTAGGAGGAGCTGTTCCTGTGGTAATTGATAAAGAAGAAAATTCCACTCGTATAAACGGTGGAGATTTGGCCTTGGAAGAGCCCTAAATAACGGTCAGTCCCAATGCCAGGAACACTTCTCTTCTTGGACTGATCTCACTCTACTCGACTCCAGCGCCGAGAGGGAAGAAAATGTATACTAGAAAGAAAACCAGGAGCAGCAGCAGCACTGGGATCGATCGAAATCCGGCGGCCAAAGTTTCCAATACCAATAGCTCGAGCACGAGAAATCCTTCCCTCGAGCAAGGCTATGCTTCTAAGAGGTCTGCTTCTTTGTCTGGCGTCACCACAGATCTTCGAAGAACCAGCCTCGAGAGCAAGCCCAGCAGCACCATTTCCACCGGAGTTTTCAAGTCAGCGCCTCCACGTCCAGCTCTAGGAAGGCCCCGAGATTCCAGAGTTCGTCCCAAGTTTGACCTCCGGCTAAACGAACCTCCACCACACTCGAGCATGATGGAGCCGGATCAGCCATCTCCATCGGCTTCTTTCAAGCGAGAGGCCACCACTCCCCCATTCGCTTGCGAGACTGTTCCTTGCAAGAACCCCGCTTGCCACCCCGGCTCATCCGACTTCCAGGCCCCAGTGAACGACTTCTTCTTGCAGAAGAGCTGGATCAAGGGACCCTCCGATCCGTCCGGTACCGTCGTGAGCCTCTCGGACCGCCCCAGCCTGTGCATGAGCGTCCACGGCTCGGAGCTGGCCGTTGGATCCTCCGACCATGCCATCTACACCATCGACGTTGGAACTTGCGGGCTCACCAGGATCATGCACGGGAAATCTTACGGCCACACCGAGTGGGTCACTTGCCTGGATCATCTGCCAGACGGAAGAATCGTTAGCGGCGGAATGGACAACAAGCTCTGCCTGTGGGACAAACGAGGTGTTCGAAGCAGGGACCTCAAAGGACACACTGCGTCTGTGTCGGGAGTTAAAGCCGGTGTTTTCAACCAAGGGAGTTTAGCAGTCAGTGCGAGCTATGACAGGACTTTAATCCTCTGGGATCTGGGAGGACCTTCGGGGAGAGAGGTAGCAAAGCTGGCAGGACACAAGGCACCAGTCATGGAATTCGCAGGAACGCCGAGAGGGAGGCTTGTGAGTGGCTGCAGGGACGGGACTGTGATACTTTGGGACGTGGATGGGAGGTCTCCCGTCTTGCAGTGCAAGAACGCTCATAAAGGCCACGTTACAGCGTTAAAAGCAGTAGAGGAGGAGGCCGGGGACGTGTTTCTCTCAGGAGGGCAGGATGGCTTACTTCAAGTCTGGGACTTTCGATGCAGGCAGCCGGTCCACACTGCTTGTCTCCACAGGTACTCCCTGAAAGATTTTCTTGTTAGAAAAGCACTAAAGAATGTCTACTTTTACTTTCCAGATCTGCGAAAGGCGTTGGAGCACTCACCTGCATTGCAGTGGCGAAGAACACAACCTGTGGATGTCCTCTGGTCACAACAGCAGGCGCGGACAGAGTACTGAAGGTCCTTGACGTAAGGGCGTCCTTTAATGCGGTCTTCACTCTGGAAGATCACCGGGATTTTATATACAGCCTCTACATGAACGGTACGTAAGCCAGAAGAGGAAACGAAAAGAAACTTGGAGAACTTACAGAGAAAAATGGAACAGGCTCGCTGGCTTGGAGCGGTGGAGGCGACGGATCTCTTCTGGTGCACGACGTTGAGCGCGGTAAGTGCCTCTATGGCTTGGGAGCGATCAAAAACGGTGCCGTGAGAGGAATCTCTCTCGCTGGTGACGCGCAAGAGAAGCTTGTTGTCACTGGAGACGATGGTAACGTGATGCTGTACTCTCTTTAGTTTTCACAGAGGACCTGTGTATATACAAAAGATTAGCAAGGAGAAAGCAAAGTATATAAACCTGTGATGAATGTTCTCCCAATGTACAAAAAATTTCTGTAAGCAACAAAAAATGACAAGGGAGATTATTCAAAACGCGATCAGATCATCCGCGGGCTTTTTCTTCTTGTCGTTGCTGGCCTCTTCTTCTGCCTTATTCCCGAATATCATCTTGTCCAGATCTGCCAAAGGATCCTCGGTGGGAGATGGACGAGCTCCAGCCTTGGAAGATTTGTTGCGAACTAGAGGGTCGTCCAGCTCGGGCTCCTCGTCGACGATCACAAACGCCGAGTCGTCGGATTTAGGGAGCTCTGATGGTGGAGGCAGTGGTGCTACTGCGCTGGACATCTCCTCGTACTTGTCGAGGGCTTTCTGGAGCTCATCGTTGACGTTGAGAGCTTCGAACAACAGGGCCTCGTTCTCGCCAACTCTTTCGATAATTCTTTGTATGTTAAACTGGGACTGCCGGCACTGCTCCACTAGCGCGATGGTAAGCTCTTCCTGGAAAGATAAACACAGAAGAAACACTTGTTAAAGCGATTTACGAGAGAATGAGCGAACCACACCTTTAAAACTTCCTGCTGGGGAGACGATGTAAGAACAGTGGAGAGAAGCTCGATACTGTTACGCGCTACGTCAAAAACCTCCTTCTCGTGATCACTGTTGTCCTCGCGAGTAGGGTGGCTGCCAACTACGTCTCTGAGCGTCAGCCTCGAGATGCCAGAGCGCACGGGAGCCGTCTCAACAGTCTGGGGTGGAGTGAAAATGGGAGCCAAGCTCTCAGCATCTCTTCCAGGGAACTTGACACCCCGAGATTTCAAGCTCTGATCAAACAAACAAAGAATCCAAAGTTAAGAAAAGCATGAAAGAGAAGAACCACTCTTTTCACACAAAACAAAAAGCAAAGAAACAAAGAGAAAAGAGAGAGAGAGTTCTGTTACCTTGTAAGTCTCCTCAAACACTGGAAGATATCGAAGCTCCTCTGTGGCCTCACCCCACGACTCGATGAGCTTCAGCGCCTTGTCACGATTCTCGGGCGACGATCGCGGATCGTCCACCAGCCTCACCATCTCGTCCAGGATCCTCTCCGACGCGACCTCCGCGAACATCTTGTCGCAGTTCTTGACAACGGCCTCGAGCAGCAGCAGCACGAGCGTGATGCCGCGCGATTCCTTGCAGCTCCCCATGCGCTTCTTGATCGCCCGCGCCAGATCCTGGCCCGTGATCTTGTCCGCGTTCACCATGTCGCAGATTTCCATGAACTGGCCCCAATCCGGATCGAAGCCCTGCAATCCCGTTGCCTCCTCCACCAGGCGATCCACAGCCGCATTGGACGCCTGGAACATCTCCCGCACCCGCTCGCTCACATTTCCCATCCTCTCCGAGACCTTGCGCCCTACCTCGGCGCCGCCGATCTTGAGGCGCTCGCCCAGCGCCGTGAACTTCTCCTTGAGATTGTCCGCCATAGCTAATGAATGACGAACGAATCAAAACCCTAGCTAAATAAGGTCATTTGTGCACGTCAGCGCCAGCGCATTTGCCATCTCGGCAGTAAATTTGCCACCCAGTCGACACGGTGGCTCTTAATTGAACGAATCAAACTTAAATTTTAAATTAAAATTTTAAAATATAAAAAAGTGAGGTAAAAGTGTATAGTTACAATGCTTTATATTAATATTAATATATAATATAATGCCATATACTAATATTAGCATAATAGGATTTTAATAGCCATCGGATTAATTTCAATCCGGTGTATATAAGCTAAGATTTTTGAGCCTATTAATATACACATTTCTATATTCCATTTTCATATTCCATACACTCACATTGGTGGAGGTGAAAAACAATTTTGATTATCCTTAAAAAAGTGTTTGGATTTAGGATTTACTTTAGATCTAACTTTTTCATTGTCTAGATTTCTCTTTCCTTATAACTTTTTCAATTTTTTCTTTTTTATTTTTTTCTTTTTTATTCATTTTTATAGTAAAGTAGCAATATCTTCCTTTTTTGACTCTAAAGCAACAATTAATGCAATTGTTTAATATTATACAATTGTAGTTAAATAATCAAACTTAGTTGATGGCACCATTCACAACACATAATATAATTTCTCTTGCTTTTGCTATCAATTTTTGTGTTTGGCTAAAATTCTTCTGTAAGAATCCTAAAGATGATGTGTACCATTGGTTCAATCAATTTACAATGATTGTTACATATTATTCTTGGGATAATGCTTGTTGTTTGAGTGAGTGTCTCTAAGGGATGGTGCTGCAGTGGGACAATGGTTTAAACTTAACCACTAGTGAGGATTAGAGCACTTTTTTAAATGTCTTCAAACACATATTTGGACATACTAACAATTGTGATAATGCCTCCTAACAATTGTATCATTTTCATTAAAGTTTATATGAGTTAATAATGCAATTTAGCATTTGTTTTTTAAACCTTTTACTTTATACAGGCCAAATATGTCAAAGCGGATCAAGTTAAAATGACTTGCTATTTTGGTATTTACATTCTCAATATTGTCTTAAGAACAATTATTTTTATTTTATGGGGATAAATCTTAATGGTTAGTTATGGTTGGTGGTGCCTTTAATCTTTATTCCACGTTTTCTTCATACCTATTATAATTTTCTTATTTTAAGTGGGCATATGGAACATTGTCATATGACTAAGAAGCTACATAAGTTTTTCTATTAACTAAAGATGTAATATGATATTATCTGGTATGTGCATAATTGCATTTGGTGTGAAGCTTATAATACTCCCCCTCATGGTGCAAAAAAATAGTTGAAGTCAATTGCAATTTCTCATTTGTTTGAGTTGGTGGCATTTGATCTGATGGGGCTTTTTCCACAGTCGATTGCTAACAATGAGTATGTAACTATTGCTGTTAACTACTTGATTCATTGGGTGGAAGTTGATGCTCTTGCTAGTGCATTTACAACTGCTATTGAATATTTAAATATTTCCTCCTCAATTGAGTAATGTTCTAACATTCATATCTGAAGTGAATTCTTTTGAATAATAGTCCCACATTTATGGTTGAGGTTTTTTACATTTTAACATCTCAGTTGGGGATATGCCACATTTTCACGAGTGCTTATTATTCACAATCAAATGGTTTAGTAAAACGGCTCATTCAGACCTTCAAAAGAATGATTGTGAAGTACTTGAACTTTC